TAAATACTACTCTAATATCAACTCTTTGGTCACAGTTTTTACCATCATTTCGATGGCTATTATAATACCGGTGTTTATGAAGAAATTGAAAGTTCGAGACATGCTTTTAGGTATGATATTTGCAATCTATTATTTTCACTTTTGTTTCACTTTAATGATGCGGTATCTGTGATATACCGGTACAGTATACTCTGTAAGTTACTGTAACTTTTATAATATAAAACTTTTCTTAAACCCTTTAATTTAGCATAAAAAAGAAAAGAAAAAAGTTGAGTCTTATATTTCCAATTCATGTGATATTAGGTATAAATTAGTAAAAAGAAATGACCCTTAATCTTATCGTTCAGTTTTCTAGTACTCTCTTTTTAATGTTTACTAAACCATAGTTTATCGCAAAGGATTTTACACCAAAAATACTAGAAATTGTCAGTTTATTATCAGATTGAAAGTGAAAACCATTTCTGGGATTGAGTCCAAAATATAAACTGCAAATCAATAGTCTATTTAATAGACTTATCTCTATTCTGAATAAAATTAATACTGTATAGCTTTAAATGAGCACAACTGGGACACAGACTATATATTATGAATAATGTCTAAATAATTAAATCATTACTTAATTACAAATACAAGAATTTTTTAAATACCTAAACATGTAAATATAATATATAATGTAATTACTGGTATATTGCGCACAGCCATCATAGGAGTGGTATCCCTATTACTTCAATGTCTTTTGCGTGGTTCGTGGCAACGACCAGCCGGTCTATACATGTCTTTCGTTGCGGGTATGTTTGCTCCCATTTCCATGATAGCCATCCGTTCCCGTCTGTCAAAGATCATCCACGAGGACGAGACGGGCAAAGTGTTCAGTTTGATGGCAACCGTCGAGTCAATTATGCCATCCTTGGCCTCAGTCTACTACTCAAGCATTTTCGCGGCCAGTATTGACACCTACCCGGGACTGGCCTTTCAAATCGCCGCTTTTATTTTGTTAATACCATTGATTGCATTCATTTGGATTGACTTATATTGCAAATAAATATATAGTTTATTTGTTGTTTTGAATGATTAACAAATTGTATTTTTATCGTTTCATTATATTTAAACGTGAATTGTATACCTATTTTATATTTAATTATATCGATATTGCAAATGTTTATGAGATTTAATGAATTAAATTTAATTATATAAAGATTTTATGTTTTTTAAATTTGTAAAATAAATTTAAAATTGACGCACATTTGATGACTTCAATATTCATTTATTCAATAGTTTAGTCAAACTTTTGTCGCAATCCATTTACCGGTAAGTGTTATGCAATGCAATACAAACACACGTTATTTGTACACAACTAGGAGTTCAATGTTTTTACAGAATTTTGATTTTGTTTTGATTTGCATTTCATTTGAAAAACTGTAAAAAGTCTATTCATTTGACAATTGAATCAAACACTTGATTGATATGTGATTTGCCATTCATTTAACCATTCATTGGATTGTCCGCCGAAGACATCGACAATGAATTGTGTGTTCATTGAAAGGACAGCCCAACTGTTGAAGGACTGGTCCAACACTTATTGGACGCAAAACAACATATTTATCGCAGTCTTCATATTCACGTGGATTTCACTCCTTTGGGACATCTATTTGTCGTTAAGACAGGTCTCACTCACCACTCGTTTGTATCACTATATCTAATGTCCTCTCATTTCAGTACAACATATACCGCACCACAAGACAAGTGCCCAAAGAATTGCGTCCAGAGTTTGATTCGAAGACATTCAACACATGTATTGAATATAACAGTCTTCGGCTGAGGTTCGGGTTTGTGGCCGACGTTTACCACCAAATATTGACAGCTATTGTCCTCTGGTTTGATGTCATTCCTCTCGTGTGGCGTATTTGTGGTCGACTTCTTGTGGGACTCAACTTCGCGGCCAATAATGAACTCATTCATAGCATACTGTTTGTGATGATTGGGAGCCTATTGTCCGCAATCAGTGGTCTACCGATCAGTCTTTACCGCACTTTTGTTGTC